ATGATCACATATTAATAATTTCATAGTCAAATCTCCTCTGCAACTTTCAAGTTAAGTTCATAGTTTAATATCAAGCTAACTATACTTCCCATAAAATCAATTAAATTTCATCAATATTCAAGGTCAAGTTCAATTATTCTAACAGCCTTTTAACAAACATCTTATAAGCACAAACTTCAAATTCCATGCTTAAGCTCTTATCTTTACACTTCATCCTAACCAAATCCTTAAGATCAACCAATCTAACAAAAATCAATTCAGCTAAAAAAATTCCAAACCTATATATATCATTATGAAGCTTCAAGATATATTTCCAATTCAATTTGAATTTCTTCCTTCTTTCATCACATGGACAATAGCAGAACATAGAACAAAAATTTAGCAACTTCACACACAACAACAGAACATACTCAGAAGCACAAAAGCACAAAAATAATCAAGAAGAAGGGAAACAAAACTCTTGCCTCTATTTGGTGCAGTTAGGGGCAAAGAAGAAAGTAAAACAACAATTGAACAAGGAAGAGAATTAAATGTCCTTGTCACTCTTAACACGAATAGAGATTCAACTTAAGAAACATAAGAGAAGTTTGAAGTGCTTCACCTTAGATCCATAGCAGAGAGCAAGGAGAAAGGAGATGGTGTAGATGGTTGTATAGGGAAGAGAGAAAATTGAAACAGCTTGCAAGAGAGGAAGGAAACTAAATCAATAGCACTAGACCAAGCTTGTGATAGCACCACCAGAAGCTCTAGCAACTTGGTTTCACACCCCTATTAGCAACCCTGAACACGAACGATAAAGATAAAATAACAACTAAAGAAGACAAATAGAGATAGGGAGATAGATGGAGAACTTGATCTTTGCACAGCTACAACGAGGCTCTACTTCTGCCGACGATCATCAAAAATAGGAGGGAGGGAGATAAAGTGTAGAAGAAAGATGGAGAAATGGCTTAATTAGATCTTCTTTCCTTAAAGGTTTGGAACAATTAAATAAGAGAAGGAAATATATTCAGATTTAAAGAAGGGCAATTTAGTAATTTCACAGCATAAAGAGGCAAAAAAATAAATCTCACCTTTAGCCTCGATCAAATTCAAACTTGAAACCTGTTGGGAGGATACTTGTGTAACATCCTAAATTTCAATACAAGAAAACTAGTTACTAACCAGGGGTAAATTAGTAATTAATGGATTGATTATGGTTTGGATATTGAGTTAGTATTTTATGTTTATTGGTTATTGTGTTATAAGATCAAATGGTATAACGACAATTTAGGATATAACGCGTGAGCAGCAGTGAAACTTTTCTCATTGTGCCACGTGCCACAGGAAGTTGCATTTGCCACGATGCATGGTACAGATTTTCACTTAAAAGATAACTCAAAACTTGTGAAATCAGAGAGAAAAGGAAGAAAAATGTGTGTGAGAGGAGAGAAGAGTTTTGCTTTATTAGGACATTGATTTATAGGAGTTTGAGAGTTTGCTTCAACCGGTGACTTGTCGGGTAAGTATTGTACAGCCTTAAGCTTCATCTCTACCTCATTTTCATTAAATTTGATTAGTTGAGAAATCAAATCAGGAAATTTTAAGGTGTTATAATCTAAGAGAAAGGTTTAAAAAGGGCTATTGAATATGAAACTAAAGTTTTATGACTAGTCAAGAGTTAAATGATTAAGCTTTGAGAGTTTAAGCTTAAAATAACCTAAATAGTTAGGTCAAAATGGTGAAATTGGGTGAATAAATGAGTTAGGAGGTTATTATGATCATTTGAGTGGCCTATGGGGCCAATGACTATAGGTAGAAGACTTATGAATTCAAAAGACGTAAATTGAACCATTTTATGTGTTAAGGAATTTGGTTTAGCTAAATTAATGCCTGCGTAGAGTGTTGAGAATTGATTGAGGAATATTGTATTGTGTAGATTGAGCAATTGTGATGTGCTCATAAGGATATATGCCCTTGAGGAATTCAATATGATTGATAACCCTTAGTAATAAGGGTAAAAAGTAACTAGAGTAACCCTTTTACTTATTCATTTGTGAAATTATTTATAAGTATTTTGTATAAATATGTGCATTGTATTTTATGAACTGATAGAATAATAGTATTATGAAAGAATATGCATGCGGGTATATGAGTATTGATTGGAATATATGAGATGGGACATATGTATAGACATATGTATCACATCTGTGAGTATACCTTGGCATATGGTAGGGGTCGCGGTCCTACTCTGAGTAAGTCTAAGAAGTCTTAATAATCTTGAGTGTAGAGCTTGACTCCGCCACGATGGACCTAGGATATGAAATGATCTACGAGTATACCCTAGATTAAGGTAGAGGTCGTGGTCTTACTCTATGAGGCTAGGAAGTTCTGAAGGTCTTTAGCGTAAAGTTTGACTTTGCTATGACGGACCTAGGAGACCACCTATATGCAAAAAGGATACCTAGTTTGAATAGAGGTGTGGTGGGCCTCATTCCATGTGACCGAAAGTCATAGTCTAAGTATTGAGCTTGCTTTGCTAGGTGGAACCAAGAATACATGAGCATGGGCATGATGAATGGATGAGTATGAATTGGTGTATATGCATATGATACTGTTTTTATTGAAATAATGCTATTTTATCTCTTGTTTATAATTTTGCTTACTAACTGGTATTTGGTTATTTTCAAGTTACTAGGACATATGTCACACTCTGTTACCTTTATACATAGGTAAAGAGAGCATGTGAAGGCCAAGAATAGGAAAGAAAGTAAAGAAAGAGTAGCCTCACTTGGTAGTGGTATAATTACTATTTCTGTATAATAAATGTATAAAGTTGTAATTAGAATTTCAGTTGCCAATCAAGATGTATATGTATATGTGAATATAAAAATGTGAATGTGTATATGAATTGTGATTGTGAATGGAAACTTACTTGTATGCTTTAAATTGCATCTCACCGAGGGTACCATAGTAGTAGGTACGTAGGTAGGCCTAGATGCCAAACAAGTAAGTATATATTATTGTGTAGCTTGTTCCACTTGTATATATTTGAATGGTTATGTGAAATGATGTGTATATATATGAGCTTGACATAAATGGTGAGGTTGAGCCTTATTTAGAAGAATCGAGTATATTTATGATTCCTGACCATATGATGAGGTGGAGCCCCATATGTAAAAGTCAGATGATTGAAAGTAGAGTAGATCTATATGTATATATCTGTTTATATGTTTTCCTCATAGAAGTCCACAATTGTGTAATGTGATATTGAGAGGTCAAAATGAGTATGTGATGTGATATATATGATCTGATGTGTTAATCAGGTGTATGTAGTCCTTTTGAATTTAGTTCAAGGCCCAAAATAGTCTAATAAGACAAGGAATAAGAATTGAGTACTTAGGGTGCAAGTTTTTGAAAGAAAAGTGACTTTTTACACCCTGGTGTCCAATTTTAGATTGGACCATCAGATCGAGTCCAAACTTGTCCAATTACTGATCAAGTTACTCACTTTAACAATAGATAATTCAAGGCTCTTTTGTCAAAATATGGTGTGCACCATAGAATGTTTCTTGCTTGTCACCCACAAACTAATGGTCTCTATGAATTGACTAATAGAGAGATCAAGTAGATACTTGAGAAAACTATGGATCCGACTAAAAAAGATTGGTCTAACAAGTTAGATAATGCTTTATGGGCCATTAAGACAGTATTCTAAACTCCAATTGGGATGTCCCCATATCACTTAACTTTTGGAAAGGTCTTGAGTTGGAATATAAGGCATGGTAGGCAATAAAAACCATTAAATCTGGATCTTAAACAAATTGTTATGAAAAGTTTGTCTCAACTACAAGAATTGGAGAAATTTAGATTGCAAGCCTTTGAAAGTGCAAGACTCTATAAGGATTGAACAAAACAATGGCATGACAAACATATTTTGCATCAAACCTTTAAGCTAGGGCAATTAGTTCTTCTTTTTAATGTAAGGCTCAAGTTATTTCTTGGAAAACTAAGGTCTCGATGGTTAGGCCCTTTTAAAGTGATTTATGTGACATCAAGTAGGGCAGTGGAAGTTAAAGATGAGAAACCTGGGGATCTCTTCAAAGTGAATGGGTAGATGTTAAAACATTATTATGGTAGTGATGTGGACTGACAGACAACAGGTCATAGTTTTTCTCAAGCTCCATGAGTTTTGACAAAGATCTAGCTAAGGACTATAAAACTAGTGCTACTTGAGAGGCAATCTAAGATTCCTTCTCTTTTCTTTGAGTTTTAGTTAGTTTTGGTTTTTTTGTTTTTGGTATAATTTTAGTTTGTTGTGTGTTTTTCAGGTGCATTGTGTAGTTGCATGTGTAGGCTACTTGGAATCAAATAGTTGGAAGTAAAAAGCAATCCTAGCTATGAAATTTCAGGGAGTTTTGCACTTTAATCCTTATTGTCAATTTAATTTCCACCGATGATATCAAATATAATTTTATGTGCTTTAATTGAGATTGTTTGGAGAGCTGAATCTGATGTGGTTTTATATTGAAGGTAATTTTTAATGATTTGTTATTGTTGTTACTATTTACTATTTATGCTGCAGTATACTATAGTAACATATCCAATTATGTCATGGTATAATTCAAGATGCTCTAGCATAAATGGTTCCTCTATTTTTGTTTTTAAAATAATAATCATTTTTAAAAAATCCAATAAATATTTTTTAACAGACATTAATTGGTTTCATTTAGAAAAAAATTGTTAGCTGTCCATATAAAAAAATTTCAAATATAATTTTTTTAAAGAAAGGGTTAGTTTTGGTACAGTTTTTAACCTTCAGTTTTTCTTTTCTGATTATTCAGTTTTTTTATATTTTTATTAGTTTTTTTTTTTAAAAAAAAAAACCTCACCTTTTGCCCACACTCGGTCCCTCTCACGATAACCCTACCCCATGGCCCCCACCACTACTGTCTTTAGCCCCACCCCTGTCTCCTGCTCTGCTGTCCGTCGTCTACAACCTTGCCTACGTCAAACTCTAGTCCTCGGAGTCACTAACCGGCGACTACCCAAGCCTCGCCGTCCACCATCTTGTATCTTTATTTCCTTCTCGCGTGTTCGCATCATCTCCATCAAACCTTCTACTTTCCGCCTATCCTCTGCACATCTCTGCCTATGCGTCTTCTGACCTTCATCATTGTTCAGCTTATGTTTTGCCTATTATCCATAGCTGGCGCAATCGAGCTCGTAGTGTTAAATCTTGCAACTGGGTTGCCTCTGTCGTGCCGTTGCTGTTCATTTTTATCTCCCATGCCATCGACGACGTCACCTCCCCTGTCACCGTATTTTCCCTACTCTCGTCGCCTCTAACTTCATATTTTGTTTGTTCAGGTTTGTCGATTCTGTCACTATCGCGCTCTTTGTTGCTTGTTTCATTCCTTTTCTCAGTCCCGTCACTTCCCCTATTTGCATTTTCTATTGTTTCCACAGGTTTTTTCTCCATTCGCATTCACTTTGGCTTTTGGTATATCACATGTCTCTGGCTGAACTCTGTTTCGTTCTCCATTGTCTCTTTCACTGTTAGTGTTAGCTTCCTTCACTCGTGAATTGTTGGGACCGGGATTTCTTCTATTTTAGGTTTGATTTCTTTTAGTTTTTGTAGCTTGTGAATTTGTTCATGGCCTGAGACTTACCCTCTCATTGAATTTGGCTGCATTAATTGTGCTACTCTGCTTGAGATATTGCATTTGTTGGGATTATGTTGCTCTGATTCTTTGCTCTCTTTACTTCAGCTTTATTTGTTTATATGTAGTTGACATTTGTGCTTTTAGGCTTGATCACTGCGAACTTGATTCTGGAAATATTTCGGGGGTGCTGGCTTTTGATTAATGCATTAGTTCTATTTGCTGCACTTTCTGGCTTTTTATTGTGATCACTGCGGGCTGCTGCTGACTCACACCTCAGTGCTTGGTTTTTCATGTCTTTATTGCATTAGTCTTTTTGCTCCAATATATGCCACTGTGTAGGCATTGTTTGACTTGGATTGCTTCTTTGAATTTTCCGATGTCATGTTGAATTCAATATATTTCCAACAAAGTGCAAATAGACAGGTTGGCATTCTTTGCATTTTGCATTTTGTTTTTTGTTTTGTTTTGTTGTGCTGTCCATGTCTTGTTTTCATTGGTTGTTATTTCTTTTGTTAGTTATTGTTATTCTTTTGTGTCTCAATCATTGTTTCCCTATTTCTATTTTAGTTCTTTTTGTTTTTGTATGAATTCCACCTAAAGATTCTACTTTCAAAAGGAAGGAAAAGGGCATTCAAGTCCCTTCTGATTCACCAGAACTTCCAACTGCACCAACCCCAAAGAAGAGTAAATTTGACTCTTTCAAGTTCAAATATCAAGCCTTGAGTGACAGATTTAACACAAGCATAGCTCCCAAAGACTTTCACGGGGATAGGTTCTTTGAAATTCCTAAAGATAAGGCTGCCTTCAAGAATTTAGAGCAACGACAGTGGAGTCAATTTCTCCAACAATTAGATCCTTACTTACCTATCTTGGTTCGAGAGTTTTATGCCAACGTTGCTTCCTATAAGGAGGGTCACTATTGGGTCAGACATCACGAAGTTGTTGTGAATCCTGCAATTATCCGTGCCCACTAAAAGTTGCCTTCGATGATTGATTGTCATTTTTAAAGGTGTAAAGAGGGGGTACTATACCTCATTGGGAAGTCATCATCCCTGTTCTTAAAAAAAAAACAGCTGTAACTATCAGTTCTAGATTGGTCCAGGATGACTTGTGTTAGCAGGCATTATTCTGACTTCACTTTGTCTCCCATAAGGTCTTGCCTAGCTCACATGCTTATGCAGTCACTAAGGATCAGGCCTTTTTGATCTGTTGCATTTTGCAAGATTTACCTATTGATTTGTTAGCTTTGATTTTCTCTTCGATCAAGAAATGCATTACTGAACTATCCGGACGATGAGCTTCAATGATTTTTCCTCATTTAATGACAGCTATTATGTTGAAGTCTAAGGTGACAATTGAAAAAATCTAATGGGTACCCTCGACCAATGTCTGCTCTCAAGTATACTTCTTTCAAAGCTGATTCAGAAGATGAGGGGGAGACCCAGGATCGGCCAAATGCAGAGCAACCTACTTTTGTGACTGAGACAACACCAATGGACCTTGTGTTTCCTCTCGCCTCCTTTTGGACCTTTGTTCGTGAGTGCCTTGATCTCCTTCTAGCGCAACAGGCCCTATTAAACAAGCAGCTGGATATGATGTGGCGAGCCTTACAAATGATACCTGGTTTTCTTATGCTTAGTTCTGAGAATCCCACTCTAGTTGCTTGTGACACCAGCCATACAGAGCCTAGCTTCCAAGGCCTACATCATGCGGATACTTCTTGATCTTTACACCTTTGTTTAGTTTATTTTCTTTCTTTTCTAGGCTATACTTATGTCTCTGTTGTTTCTTTTGACCACTACTCTATCTCTATCTGTAGCCTTATTTTGGTGCTGTATAACCGTTTGTTTACTTTCTTGGGTTGTAAGGCTATATTCTAGTTTTCATGCAGCTTATATCTGCTCTTTTGTGACTGTTATGGGCAGCAGGGCTATGTCTATCATCTTGTGGATCTACTTGCTCTCTCTCCGCTTCTCAATCTTTTTGTCCGTCTACCCGCATTGCGCAATGTCAGGGGAGTCTCAGTATCCCCCTCTCTCTTGTTTTGTTGTTATTTAAACATTAGGGATAATGTTTAATGTATGTGTAGGGGAGGGAGTACTTATTTTCTTAATTGTTATCTTGCTTGTCTTTGAGGTTTTTTTTTTATTAGGAATTAGTTGCGCCTATTTGTAAATGGCTTGAAAAAATTGAAAATTTTGAAAATCACACAAATATTTTCCTTAGGTCAATTTTATTTTGTTTCCTTTTTGTGAATGTTACTATGGTTAAATTGATTCTAACATGAAAGGATTAAGTTTGATTAGGAGTTGGTCTCCTTTTTTAGAATTTTAGTAAATAGGCAACAAACTATGATTAGATAATTGAATGTAGGTTGTCCAAAAAGTTTGTAAGAAATTTGAGCCTAACTATAATCTTTCAAGGGGGAGTAAATTTATTGTGATTTTATTTCTAAAACTTGTTTTGAACATTTGATGAGATTTGTAATAGCCATTTACATATATAAAAATGATTTAAGTATTCATTTTCTTACTTAGTCTAGCTCAATATCCATCATGTTTTATATTTAACTATTGTTTCACCCAATTAAGCCTTGACCTTGTTCAAAAATTTTTAAAAAAAAATCATAAGCCCATTTTTTAAAGTTTACTTACTTTTCATCCATTTTTATTCTCATTTATTACTTTGGTATGTGCTAAGTGGTACATTTATGAAAGAAACTGAAGGAATTAGGATTGAGTTAGGGATTCAAAAGTGATAGTAAGAAAAGGGGAAAGTGAAATTTACTGAAACAAGGAAGAAAAGAAAAGAAAGTTAGAAAAAAAAATATAGTGAATAAAAAAAGAAAAAGAGATTTCAAGTAAAAAAAAAAAATGTTGATCCTCATTGATGCTTTTTGTAAATAGTTGCAGTTTGTCTTTTAAATTTTTTGGTTCCTCATTTAAGATGCTTAGCATTAATTAGAGTATGTGATTTTGACTCATTGAATAATTTTCTTTCATCACCATACCTGAAAATTAGAACCTGTGTAAAGTCTCTTTGATTTGTGTGCATGTTAGCATAAACAAGTGGAGATTAAGATGAGAACCAAGCTTATGGTAGATGGATGGCAATAGATGGAAATAAAGGAAACACTAACTTGTAAACACCTTGAATGTAGAGTGTAAAAACTTGACTGGCGAGGGACAATTTGTTAAAAATTATCTTTGTTTAATTAATTGTCTTGCTGCTTGCATTCTTGGAAGGTTGAGAAAGTTTTTAATTAAATTGAATATTTGAAAGTTGGAATTGTTTTTGATATTGATATATTCACAATTTTTTTTTGTCTTTTTTGTATAGTGATTTTTTTTTTTTTTGCTTGAGAATAAGCAAGAATTTAAGTGCGGGGGTTATCAATCATAGAAAAATGTCAAAAGCATGATCACCTCATTCTTATTGGGGTTCAATTTATTTCAATGATCTTCCCCCCTAAATCGTCAAGTCGCTATAATCATAATTATAATCATATGGGTAGAGATTTTTTTTTTTTTTACAACTATTATAGTGGACACCTTCACTATCTATAAGTTTTGAAAGTCGGATGAAAGAGAGAATACATATCATTCTATGACAACCATATTTTATACATGTCACTAAAAAAAAAAAAAAATCTCACACACGCACACTAGTAAAAAATTGATCTAAAAACAAAGAAAAAAAATTATACTAAGAAGCAAAATTGTTGGAATAGAGAAACAAAACATAAGTAAAAAAATTAATGATAACTTACTTATCTCTCGCATCCCAACTAAACAAGTTAGCAATCTTAGTTAATGCTACTTCATATGTTGCAAAATTTCCTTTTTGACTCCGTACCTCAGATGGATCTATATCATAAAAAACTGAAAATATCATTTGACGGTCCTTTTTGGGTTCTGGAATCTTGTGCAGTTCATCCAAACAGCACGAGGAAGAAGCATAATTCTTGGGGAGCACAATAATGGCAAACATAGATTTCTCAATAGCTTGGAGGAGTTCGTCTGAGATAACTTATCCTCTTTGACGATCTACATCATGCCTGAAAGTCACAATTCCTCGTCGACAGAAAGCAGCGTATAAATGATGGTGAAGTTTTTGCAAGTGTCGGCGCCTCTAAAACTCAAGGACACATGATACTTCTTCGAAAAAGTTGAAGCACTAGTAGAAGGACCTGGAGCAGCCATTGGAGGAGCGCTTGGGAAAATTGGTAAAAGGGAATCAAATATTAAGCAACTGAATGGACTGAGAAGAAGGAAGCTTTCTCAGTGGCGCTATGAGCTAATTAGCTTTTGTCTCCATATACAATCGGTTTAATTGTTGTGGGCATCCAGAATGGAGAGTCAGTTAACCAAAGCCAGTTTGGGAGAAGACTTTTTGGAAGCTGAACAGACTAAAGAAACCTGCTCTCCACTCCATCCCCTAAAGGTCTCTTTGATTCAAAGAGAGAGGAGAGGAGGGGAGGAGAGCTCCCCCCCAATTTGGAGGGGAGGGGAGGGGAGGAGAAATCCCAATTTGAAGGAGAGGAGGTGTTAAAAATTTCCCCTCCTCTCCTCCTAACCAAATGAGGGCCCCCAACCAAATACACCCTAGGTGTTAAACCCAACTAGAGGTGGTGGGGTCAATAGACACAGCCAGACCCACATGTTTAGATGGAAGTCTTTATCACTCAGGGCAAGTTGGGTGAGGAAGGCACAGAGAAAATAATAATAGTGATAATAATAATTTCTTTTCCTCCACCGTTCTATCTTCCTGTATTTGGATCACCTAAAGCTAATTTATGTGTGCTTCTCATTGTATTAGTGTTGTTATTTTGTGCATTTCATGACCACATCTAAAATGTTTATACACAAATTTGTGAAATTTCTGTGGCACCTTAATTTCAAGGCCATTGAAAAATAATGTTTTTCTTTTTTGGTCTAACTTAAGAAAAGATAAAAATAGAAATTGTAAGAATTGACACACAGAACCTAACCAAAGGAGGGAGGGACTCTCCTCAGGCCAACCAAACATACTTAGTGAACAGATCAACAACTTCATCTGACGATGGCACATACTAAACTAACATTTGGTGTGCCAAGACTCGGTTACAGACAAAGTGAATGTCCAGCTTGATGTATTTTGTTCGAGCATGGAAAACTTCTTTCGAAGAAAGAATAAAGGAACTTTGATTATCACACCAAGCTACAAGAATCTGAGAAAGCTTGAATCTAATTTCAGAAAATAGAGATTGAAGCCAGGTGAATTCAGTAGCAAGATCGACCAAAGAGCAATACTCTAATTCAATGCTTGACCAAGCAACAACTTTTTGTTTCTTCCCTGACCATGCAATAAGAGACTCACTAAGAAAGACGTAATGACCTCCAATCAACTTCCAATCATCAATGCATGTAGTCTAATCAGAGTCAGAGAATCCTTGCAAAGTAAAATGTGAGCTTAGCTTGAAATGTAATGTTAGATCCATTATTCCCTTTAGATATCTTACTACTCATTTAATTGCCTGCTAGTATTAATCAGTAGGAGAATAAAGGAATTGACTACGTTTGTTCACAGCAAACAAAATATCAAGTCTTATATTTACAAGATACTAAAGTGCCCCCACGATACTACGATAGATAGATGGGTTTTTGAGAAGAGTGCCATCATGAATTGATAGTGTTTTGTTGTTTACCATTGGCATGGGAATAAGGGAGCAATTAGTCATTCTAAATTTCTTGAGCAAATCAATGATATATTTCCCTTGCTTAAGATAGATTCCTTTTGAGTCTCAATGCACTTCAATGCCTAAGAAATGATGCAGATTCTCTAAATCTTTTAAGGGAAAAAGTGAGTTTAATTGCCTTATAAACTCAATTAGCATGGTCGAGGAGTTACCAATGATAATGATGTCATCCACATAGATAAGAACAAACATTATCTTGTTCTTCAATTTGAGAAAGAACAGAAAGCTATCACAATTGGAATGTTGAAAATTCCAGTTGAGAAGAGTAGATTTTAATATGTCAAATGAAGTCCTGGGTGCTTGTTTCAAATAATAGATGGCTTTATTAAGTAAACAAACATAATTAGGATAACTCTTGTCAACAAAGATTTCTAGTTGTTTTGTATATACTGTTTCTTGTAGATAATCATTAAGAAATGCATTATTCATGTCAATTTGTCAAACTAGCCATTGGAAAGAAAACAACTAGAGTTTGAATAAACCTCAGTGTAGCAAGCTTTAGTATAAGGCTAAACATTTCTTCATAATTAATTCTTGCATGTTGTTGAAAACCTTTTTCCACAAGTCTAGCTTTCAGTTTTAAGAAAGAACCATCAACACTGTATTTTTCCTTAAACACCCATTTATAGTCCACTGGTGTTTTATTATGTGTATATGGGATTGGCACCTAAGATTTGTTTTTAACAAGAGCTTTAAACTCTTCCATCATAGCTTTACACCATAAAGAGGACTTCAGGGCTTCTTGAACATTGTGAGGCTCAATTATGCCAGATTCACCAAAATTGATTAATCCAACAAATGGTGTTTTTGGCTTAAATATGCCAGCCATGCTCTTGGTTATCATTGAGTATTTGTTCAAATTAATCACTTAATTTTCTACTTCATTTGATCTATCTATACTGGGTTGAGTAGAAATATGATCATTCTTAGCTATAATTTTCTCTATAATTTGCACAGGTACTATGAAAAATTGAGGTAAGTTAATTAATGATGTAGTAGCTGGACTCTCAGGAGAATTTAGAGAAGCAAGACCACCTAAAATTTCTTCTAAAATAAATCATTGATCAGTGGAAGAAGGACAAAAAGTAGGCAAAGATGATAAAAAGAGGTTTAAAGAAAACCTTTAAATTAACTTCAACTTTATTGGATATTTTCTTTATTAATAAAACTAATGGAAAATGGAAATTCATTCTCATTGAATTCCA